ATAGATAGATAGATAGATAGATAGATAGATAGATAGATAGATAGATAGATAGATAGATAGATAGATAGATAGATAGATAGATAGATAGATAGATATTAAAATATTTTGTCAGTTAATTCCAAGAAAATAAGATGTTTTATTACTTTTTAGTCATTCAGTTCATTTTTTTTGTTTTCTTTATGCATATTATCATTAATATGAAAGGTTGCAGCTGTGGTAGTTACAAAACAATACTGACTTTCCAGCATTACAGCAGGAAAGGTGGTAAAACAATGGAACAAGCAGAAAAGGGCTACAGAAGCTCTTGAGCCTTTACACTGAGATTAAAAGGGAATTAAATGGAATAGTTTCCAGAACTAAGTACCACATGTGTAATGAGTTATGTAAAAAGTCCAAGCTAAGATAGGTGGTAGTGTCTTATCCAGCATGTAAACACATCCAAGTACGATGCAATCAGGTGGCTCAATTTTCTCTTTAATGTTAGGCAAGATGTTTCTCCTGAGTTTAGTATTACTGAAACTAAGATTTGGTAGAAGCAAGAGCACAGAAACAAGAAATCATTCAAGCAAGAAGAAAAAAAATGTAATATACATGTTATACACGTAACCACTAGTGAGCCTATCATCTTATAACTGTTGATACATGGCTGCCTGTCGACTTTGTGCAGTAAACTTTTTTTCTGTTTCAGATGATGGCAAGTTGTCATTTGAAGAGTTTAATACTTACTTTGCTGATGGGATCCTGACTACTGAGGAGCTACAGGAGCTTTTCTATTCCATAGATGGCCAACAGAATAAGTGAGTTTTTGACCTAGTGTTATATTTAATAGATTCTCTCTCGTAAACTTTGTGCTTTTACCTTTTAAAGAGGGCAAAATAAAAGCATGCTTAAAGGCAGTGTTAATGTGTTCTTTTCAAGTCACCAGCCACAGATTAAATGTCTCACAGCTGGAGGGAGGTCCTCGGTAAACTCAACTCAAGCAGAATTGATGTTTACCCCCTCCTTTGGACATAAAATACTGTGGGCTAAACCAGCTACTTCAAAACCTGGACTACTTCCCTGAAATTACAATCAAGGAAATCAGCCTCAGGGTAGCTGCTGAAATCACCGCACTGCAGTGAACGCTTAACTCTTTTAGCCACAGAGGAAAAGACCATTTTTCCCCTGCCATGTTGTATTTAATGTATCTAAGTCTGATCCTTACCTAAAGCCAGTGTGTTTTATTGCCTTTGGCAGATCAGGTATTTGTATTCATGAGGCATTTTGCAACTTTTCTTCTGTGCCAACACTGAGGCTTAACAAGGTTTCAAAATCTTTGTATAAGCTCAGGTGATATAACAAATTAACCATGATTGGTAAATCACTGAAATGCATCAGTAGGCCCAGTCTCACACACAAAAGCAGACTGGAATAGATGCATATGTGTTTTGGGTTTTTTTTTCTTCCTTTTTTGCATCTAACTAGTTTGGCTACAGTAACCACTCTGTATTTATTTTTGTTGTGGTGCCAGTTCTTCCATCACTGTGTGATAAATTGCTTTTGAACATGCTGCTAGGCTAGTATTGCCGCTGTGATGAGAAACAATAGCCTCGAGACCTCTCTAACCACCCTCCAAGCTTTGAGGCAGTTGGCATGAACTGTGCTCTGATGTCTAATTAAAGGTTTTTCTTATTCTCAATATAACAATGCAGTTAATGGAGTGGTGATAGGAAGAACGTGTTTTACCTGTATATGCTTGATAATGCTTAAAGTTATGCAGAAAATGCTGGAACTGAAAGCAAAGGGAAAAGAATGATCACATTAGCTATATCTTAATAGCCTAAAAGAGAGATATGTGGGAGCTTATTGTCACCATCCAAATGCAGATTTGTAACAGCAACTGCCAAAAAGGCATTTGTTTTTGTTGTCTGCAGGAGCTGTGTGAGCATTATAATAATGCAGCTATTTACCAGCTTCACTTCCAGTTTGATTCAGTCTTTAAAATGTCATTAAAACAACAGGGGAATTTTTCACATAGTAATGGTAGTAGTAATGGTCTTTATCAAAGAGAATAATTTCTCATCAAATGTAAACCCTTCTGCTACGAAAAGTAAACAAAGACGTATTTATTGCAATGTTTTTACCACTGTGGGAGAAGTAAAACAGACAATGGTCTAACATTTTAAATAATGATAAAATGCAGAAGACATCATTTCTAAGGAGAATAAACATTTCAGGTTAACATGCTGCGCACAAGTGTGATTTATATGGTTTTAACACTTTAACAAGTCTTGTGTATGTCTTTATATGACAATACTGTTATCATATTAACTATATTCACACATAGTCACACCAAACCTCTCAAGCAGAAATGAAGAGCTACATAACTTTGAATTTTCCTAATTAACTCTCAGTATCTTCCCTGCTTCTCTCTTATGTTCTGCTCTGCAGCAATCTGGACACTGACAAGCTATCAGGTTGGTTGGAGTGTGCTTACTCTGATTTCTGTATAACTCCTATCATAAAAGTTATTGTCATAAGTGCTTGTGTTACCCTATCCTTAGATTCTTTTTTTAATGATTATTAGTGTTCATGAGTAACTTCATAGCAACAGTTTAAAAACTCTGGGAAATCTTCATTTTCAAATGAAAGCATTGTATAAAGTTAGAGGCAGCAGGTTTTGCTGTGTTTTCTGCGCACGCCAAACAAGCAACACAACTAAATTATATATCAAAAGCATTTGTGATTTAGTTTGATTTGAATGTGTCATCTGACATGTTTAGGTACTGCTGAGCAAAATCTGGTAAAAAGTCATGTTTCCCTATTGGTAGACCTTCTTGTGTGGAAAGTCAACCAGGTGCTGGTTTCCTAAAATTTACAGACATACAGTAAGAGTCATATCGATATTGTTATATAGTATACACAGTAGTAGTGATATATATAGTAGTGATCTATTGGCCTATTTTTTTAATCATTTTAAAAAATACATGTGTGTCAGATGACCTGAATAAAGTTAAGAACTAGGACAGAGACCGGTAAATATGACTTGTACCCAGAATAAAACTTCTGCATAATTTATTGAATGGGAATGGCATCTTTTGCATCTGACATCAACAGAAGTTGACTGTTTTTCCATAACAGAATGCTTCTTTTATCTCATATGTAGTTCAGTGAACATCTGTCAGCCACTGCTCTATGTTCTTTAGACCAAATTGTTTCTGATTAACGGTTTAAAATTCAGTAATGCAACATAAATGAATGTAACTGAGGGGAGTGTAAAGGCTGCCACCAATCCATTCACCTTGGATCACATTGTTAACTGTGTGTCATGTCACTCGTACTCTTAGCTAGTGTAAAATCAAGTTTTTAATTAAGAATCAAGAGCTAATTACTATTGAGCTTTTTCTTTGCTTTACTCTTGCTCTATCATATATAATTTGGTGAACCTTCCTCGCACAGCCTTTTTACCGTGACACTTTAAATAAGCCTCGGTACACTGCTTTTGCAGTTACGTGAGCTCATTTGTGACATAAACATTAAAATGTGTAGGAGTTTCTTTATAGCAGTCGGTGCTGTCTGGTGTGAAATGAATCTTCACGCTTGCTATCATTAACACTACAGGAGTGAATGAGATATCTTATAACACTGCCTTATTAAAATTAGTAAAGATAAAAAACCTCAATTTCATGAAATGGGGAGCGCTAAGTGTTGCTGACGTATTGTGCATTCATTATATTCTCACTCCTGTAGTCGTCGTCGTCTCTTAATTGGAGTCTGTCATGGCAACATATTAGAGCTTGTCTCCAACTTTTAAACGTTAAAATTAATGTTTGATGACTATTCATGTTCATAGTCCGTGATTGCAATAACACTGACAGTTTTTTTTTTTGCTATTCCCTGTTAGAATATTTTTCTCAGCACCTTGGAGAGTATCTTAATGTCCTTTCAGCTCTGGAGAGCCTGAATATTGCCATCTTAAAGGCAATGGATAAAACTAAAGAGGTAAGAATTCACCAAAGCACGTGAAGACTCTGAAAGCTATACTATGAACCATTTAGTTTTATGTGAATCTGTCTTAATTTTGGCAGACCACATGGCCACCACTCGCTAGCTCTGAATTCAACAGATTATTGAAATGACTGCACTATTCTCACATTGGAAGTTGGGCTTCACACAGACTTTGTACTTGAGAGCTGGCAGGTTGGATGTAGTCTCAAATGTAATACATGCACCATGCAGGTAATAGCAAGAAAAACTCAGGGCTGAAAGCAGTTAGTTTTTATCAATTCAGATGATTCACACTGACTTACATCACCTGTGGTCTCGTTATCCTTGGTCCCACTTTGGAAAATATCGCCAACCCCGAAACACAAAAATGTTGAATGAGTCGGTGAACGGATATTTACCTGTTAACGCTTACCAAATTTTATGTAACAAGGTTAGGACACTTTGACGGGGTTTATCCTATCTCCTATTAAAACCTTAAACTGAGTCTTCACCTTATAATATACTGATTTGCATTATGGGGACATTTCTTTACCTTAAAGGAGGTGGGCCTACATAACGTGAGTATCCAAACCAATCCCCACAATGTAAGTAATACAAGTAGACACAGACACGCTCACCAAGTTAGGTTTTTTTGTGCTATAAATCTCCTGTGTTAAGTTTTGTGCTGATTCTTGTCTATTAGAGGAAGCCCCCGTGTACACAGATGGAGCCACTGCTGCACTAAGTCTCCCAGAAGTGATGAATTAACAAAAGAGGGACAAAAAAAATATTTCAGGCAAGGATGGGCTGGGAAATAAATCAGATGGGGAGTTTGACCCAAGAATGACTTAATACGTTCTGCACAAAACACAGCAGTGTTGTCTTAATATCCTAACTATAAATGAGTCACAGATATCCTATATAACACAATAATCTACCCGATACTTTGGACACAACTGTGATGCTGTTTCTGTTTATTAACTTGTCTGTCAAAGCTACAGCGTGTACTGCACCAGCATTAACATGTAACTAAAATCGTTGACTTGACTTCCCCTTGTTACTGCTTGCCCTTTTTTTACTCCAGGGAACTTCTTAACATTTCTGTTCCTGTCCAGCAGCACAGCACTTTTGGTCCTTTTTGCTGCAGCAATTACTGCTCCCACTGCTAAAGCTGCAGATGGAAAAAAACCACTGATTAGTATTTAAGCCAGCAGTCTGCCCACCTATGTACTGCGGGTCCCATGGGCCTTGATTGTGTTCAGTCCAAGCAGAAGAATCAATCCACATAATCAGTCTTATTTTTAACAATTATAGTATGCTTGATTTTAAGAAAGTAGCTTCCTTAAGTGGTATGCACATTCTCTCCCTGAGCATTAAATGAGGAGACTGGTAAATTGTGTGAGTGGTTAATGAGAAACTGCTGCAGGAAGAAGATGTTTTGATGTACCTTAGTGCTTAGACTAGAGCAACAGGAAGAAGGTAGTCTGGTTGTGTGCGATGGTTTTTAGTTTTTTGGTTATACTAGATTAATAAGAGATAGAGACAGAGATAGAGCAGGAAGGCAATTCTCCATGAAGAGGAAGAAGCACAAGCCATGACTTTACTTGAGAGATTTTGTTGTTTTTAATACTTGGCCTGACTGCAGAGATGTTCTGTGTTTGTTAGGTAAAACAACCACACATGCCATAATCAGGAATCATGCACAGCACCAGTTTCTTGTAGTGTCACCAAGTGACACTGCAAAATTATGCAAAAAGAAGCTTTGCAAAGTCCTGAGTAGCACCAATGGACTATCAGTGCAGTGCAATCCCATGACCTTAAGTCTTGTTCAGTCTGCAATTTTCAGTCCTAACTGCTACAAATATTCTCTTGATACTCCTGATGTCCCACGGTGTGTGTGTGTCCCAAAAACCTCATGTAATAATATGTACCGGTTTGGCACAGCCTAGCATTTCTGTACCTGTTTATTATGTTGCTCAACTAGAGCTGACAAAATGTTTTAAAAGTGCTTGAGGATTTTTTGAGGTAACAGCTATGAATCAGGGATTTAAAGTTTAATAGGAGTTGTTAAATGAGAAGAGTGGAGGAAATGTGTTCTGAATAATTATGGAACCTGCCTTAATTAGATCACCTACCTCCTCTATTTGGCCTCTTCTTTAAAGCTGTTGAAGTGGGTAAACCCCTAGAGGATTGTGCAGTCACTGGTTAGCAGCTGTGGTCTGTCAGTGCTTTGGACTGCTAATCCCATGATGCTTTTTCAGTAGATGCTCGTCATCGCAAGTTTTGACAATGAGCTATGCAATGTTACTTCACTCGCACATTGCGTGACTATGTCTCCTTTGAGAATGCGTAATCACATTTGTGTTTGGGGACATGAGCAGCAATTATGTCTCCTATTAAAGTTCTTCCACCTTGGAATTTGAATACGCACTTCTGAATAATGTATGTGTTCTGAGAATTAATTAGCCCATTTAATTGCAGCTGTCACACATTTCACAAGTGCCTGCAGTTGTTTTGGAGAAGTTATCACATGATCGCTCTCTCTCTCCTTCTCTGTGTGGTGTGTCTTGTCTCAGAGCTGCTTTTCCTTTCTTTGCGCTTTGGTTTGAGCAGTTTGTCCTTTAACCCTTTGTTCTGTTTGTCGCTCTCTTTCTCAGGAGTACCAAGGTGCCAGCGTGTTGGGTCAGTTTGTCACCAGATTCATGCTAAGGGAGACATCCAGTCAGCTGCTTTCTTTACAGAGGTCCCTGCAGTGTGCCATGGAGGCTGTGGAAGAGCAGAGCAGCCCTGCCCCGTTAGTACACTGTGTGATACAGTATTTTGTGTTATCTGTTATTTGTTACATTTTATTCAACACTGTTTCCATACTATTAAAGTCTTAGTCGTAATTTAAGTAGAGAACTTATGAGCAACAGCATTTCTGATGACTGGTGCTGTAATGCTAAACTCAGGTATAAGGATTACCTTGTGGGGTTTTTTCATAGATGCTGTTCTAATGAAAATTTAGAATTTTTAACTCAACTTTACTTTACAACTTTAAAATTCTGCTGCAACACTGCACAGAAAGGGAGTACAGTCATGCTTTTCTATGCTGCATATATTTTAAATGTAATTTTACTGTTGTAAATCTTTAATTCCAGTTAATTAAGGCTTCTGCTTCTACTTTTATATGTAGATTGGAACATGGTCGGTGGTTTAGGTATGACAGAGTTGTCAGAATTAGTCCTCTTTTGTTGCCCACTGGATGGATTTGCAAAGTATGTAGAAACACAGTGCATACTTTTGAGAGTGACACTGTATTTTGTACCAAGTATTTTATTGCAGAGTGGATCACACTATGAGAATTGTTGTCTGAACTGTTAATTACATGTGAGCCAGAAGCCTGAAGCATCATTAGTTATAAAAGCGCATTACTTTTTTCCTCTCGCTTACCACAACACATAGAAGCTGCTTGAGCCGAGGGGATGTGCTGATGCTTCTCTTTGATTTTTCAGAGTTTAGAATTTGTTGCGCTTGCATCATTCTTATGACGTTCCTCGGCTGTTTTTTAAGAATGATTTTTACACTAAAGGAAAGGAGAACATTTAAAGGTTTTTTTGTTTGTGTTTTGTTTTTCTTAATGCGGTGGTTAAATAAGTTCAGCCCAACTGAGATGTGCAGCAGACAGTCCAAACTAAAATGAATAAAACACATCTAAGAACTCATTCCAGTCTATACAGTGTGGTAATGATGGATCTAACAGAGGAAATGCTGCATATATGTTCATACTGCTTAGTGAGGTGTGGTATAAGCCAGCGTGTTTGTTAGCTGAAGGAGAAAAATGACTCATGCTGGAGGGATGATTTCTCTGCTAGACTTTGCATTCTGTCGTACCATGATGCTCTGTGTAATTTAATATAATAATCCTATATTTTTATATACAGTGCACCATAATAACTCAGAATGTTTTTCTCTCTTTAATCATTCAACAATGTTTTACTAATATCTCACTTTATAATCTCTCTTTAAAAAATATTCAACCACAGCATTTCAAGACTACTACTGCTAATGCAAACTGCTTCAAGAAATACACACATATATACTATTTTTAAATTGTGTCAACAGAAAACTTCCATAATTCATTATTAGCACAACCAGGTATGAAAAAAAAACAGTTAGCATTGGTCTAAGCAATACGTTTAAGCAAGAAATTCACTTAATCAATGCTGTATCATGAAGCTTTCTTTCAAGACATGCCTTTGAGCAGAAAGCTTTGAATTTACTGTATTCTCACAGGCTTTCAAACAGATGCCTCACTAATAGGTAGACTGTTTGAAATTCAGAATTTCTGTCAAAGACCTTAATGCTTTCATTAAATGTAAATGAAGGTCATGGAATAAAAACACACCTAAACTGCTGTCACCAATTAAGAATTTGGCAAACACGATCCATCTAGGCATTTAATGAGTAGAAGTCTGTGTCAGCACAGGTCAAGATTATGACTAATGCTTTGGCAACACTAACTGTTCTCATTTAAAATAATAAGGATACTTTTCTACATTTTTCATGGCTAAATAATTTGGTAGCGCTAATCGCAGCCTGGGTTGTCTCTTTTCTTACCTCTGGGTGCCACGCTGGCATTATTGAAGATAATAGAGTGATTATAGCCAGGGTGAATTATTGAGAGTTGACTGGGGGAGGCAGAGCAAGGGAACAAGGCTAAAGGATGATATTGGTAGCAGTGACATATATAGACAGTAATTCACTAAGAGAGAGAAAGCAAAGCAGAAAAAAGAAGTAAATGGATAGCAGAATGATACAGAGAGCCTAAGATGAATTGGAGAAAGGAAAGGAGGCCTGTACAAATGAACATAACGCAGAGCTTTTTGGTCAGACACTTTTAATATTGCTCAAGCAGATATAGATTTGGACAGACACAGTGTGTGTGTGTGTGTGTGTGTGTGTGTGTGTGTGTGTGTGTGTGTGTGTGTGTGTGTGTGTGTGTGTGTGAGTGAGTGACAGAATTAGAGACATATTGAGTTAAACAACAAACAGCTTATTTCTCTCTCCTTTGCTTCACTGCAGTAGATTTATGGTGGTTGCAGTGGCCTTTGGGCTCCAGGCTGTTCTCAGCATGATAACCTCCTAGCAATGCACTCCCTCTGTGCTGTCAGCATGATCCTGCACACACACACACGTAGACACATACACAGACACACGTATTAACGTGCACACATAACAACACAACAAAAGGAGGGAGACACTGGCTCACACTACCAAGTACAAACAAATGTGCAGAAGCATTTAGACACACAGAGAGCCACACACACATACATAACTAAATCAAAGTCTTCACACACACAGACACACACACACACACACACACCATCTCGATTGTCACACCCTCATGACTACAGAGTGCTTAACATCCTGCCCTTGACACTCTGCATTTAGCACAGCAAACACTTTTCCATCTATAACAGAGATATAGATAGATAGTGTGTGTGTGTGTGTGTGTGTGTGTGTGTGTGTGTGTGTGTGTGTGTGTGTGTGTGTGTGTGTGTGTGTGTGTGTGTGTGTGTGTGTGATTGAGGAAAGGAGTAAGTGAAGTGTAAGTGTCTGTCCCCCTTAAATCTTTACCCTGTGGGATAATAAGCTGTTTTCACCTCTATTCTGGATGTCTCTTTGTGTCTCTTTGTGCCATTGATTATGCTGTGTCTCTTGCATCATACATTAACCTATCTCAGTTTCTGATTGGAATCAATTATTAATGTATCATTCTCCACATATTTTTCTTCCTCTCTTTGCATTCTCTGGCCCCTCAATCTCCTCTATTCCTTCCAATGTTTCGTTCTATATATGCTTCATATTTTCCCATGTGACTTCCCCTGTTTGCTATATTTTAAGAGGTTTTTTCCACATTGCTCTGACAGTTGCTGTCTTTCTCTCTGATGTTTGTCTCGCTGGATTTCCACTGCTGTCATGGCAGGAGAGAAGTAAAGGCGCCAGAGCTGACAGCAATACAGAGAAATGGCAGGCGCTGTGGTCGCAGGGTCCATAATAACCTGTGCCTCTCTCCATCAGATCCCTGCACTGGCATCCTGACCATGGGTAAGAGGAACAACAAAGTACAGGGTGGGCCATTTATATGGATACACCGTAATAACATGGGAATGGTTGGTGATATTAAAGTCCTGTTTGTGGCACATTAGTATATGTGAGGGGGCAAACTCCTCAAGATGGGTGGTGACCATGGTGGCCATTTAGAAGTCGGCCATCTTGGATACAACTTTTGTTTTTTCAATAGGAAGAGGGCCATGTGACACATCAAACTTATTGGTAATGTCACAAGAAAAACAATGGTGTGCTTGGTTTCAACGTAACTTTATTCTTTCATGAGTTATTTACAAGTTTCTGACCACTTATAAAATGTGTTCAATGTGCTGCCCATTGTGTTGGATTGTCAATGCAACCCTCTTCTCCCACTCTTCACACACTGATAGCAACACCGCAGGAGAAATGCCAGCACAGGCATCCAGTATCCGTAGTTTCAGGTGCTGCACATCTCGTATCTTCACACCATAGACAATTGCCTTCAGATGACCCCAAAGATAAAAGTCTAAGGGGGTCAGATCGGGAGACCTTGGGGGCCATTCAACTGGCCCACGACGACCAATCCACTTTCCAGGAAACTGTTCATCTAGGAATGCTCGGACCTGGCACCCATAATGTGGTGGTGCACCATCTTGCTGGAAAAACTCAGGGAACGTGCCAGCTTCAGTGCATAAAGAGGGAAACACATCATCATGTAGCAATTTCAAATATCCAGTGGCCTTGAGGTTTCCATTGATGAAGAATGGACCCACTATCGTTGTACCCCATATACCACACCAAACCATCACTTTTGTTGTTCCAACAGTCTTGGAGGGATCCATCCAATGTGGGTTAGTGTCAGACCAATAGCGGTGGTTTTGTTTGTTAACTTCACCATTCACATAAAAGTTTGCCTCATCACTGAACAAAATCTTCTGCGTGAACTGAGGGTCCTGTTCCAATTTTTGTTTTGCCCATTCTGCAAATTCTGTGCGCCGATCTGGGTCATCCTCGTTGAGATGCTGCAGTAGCTGGAGTTTGTAAGGGTGCCATTTGTGAGTAGCTAATATCCGCCGAAGGGATGTTCGACTAATGCCACTCTCCAGTGACATGCGGCGAGTGCTACGCTGTGGGCTCTTGCTGAATGAAGCTAGGACAGCCACTGATGTTTCTTCATTAGTGACAGTTTTCTTGCGTCCACATTTTGGCAAATCCAACACTGAACCAGTTTCACGAAACTTAGCAAGCAGTTTGCTAACTGTAGCATGGGAGATGGGTGGTCTCGTAGGGTGTCTTGCATTGAAATCTGCTGCAATGACCCGGTTACTGCGTTCACCAGATATCAACACGATTTCGATCCGCTCCATAGCCACCATGGTCACCACCCATCTTGAGGAGTTTGCCCCCTCACATATACTGATGTGCCACAAACAGGACTTTAATATCACCAATCATTCCCATGTTATTACGGTGTATCCATATAAATGGCCCACCCTGTAGACTTAAATTGCTAAAAGTGAAATATGGTCTTTTTAAATTGTTTGTTGTCTGTAGCAAAAGAAGGGAACACCAGACGTCAACTTATTGGCTTCCTTTTTTTCTCAGTCATTTGCCACCAGCGCTTAGGTGCAGTATTTGTAACTTAATAATAATGATAACAATTTCTTATAGAACAAAATCAACAAAGTATTAGGTGATCTTTCAGTGTCAGCTGAAAGATCTGAACAATAATCTCTTGGACATTTATGTTTCTATAAATAACCAAGAGATGTGGGAATGTAACACAGTGTAACCATATTGAAAAAAGGAGACAAAGAGGCAAAATTGGCAACAAAATAAATTATTTTATTAATAATTAAACTAAAAGAGACAGACAAGCTTCTTGCACCATCAAAGGAAGGAAAAAATTACAAAACCCAGATGTTGGTAACTAATTAAAGAAGTAAAAAAAAAGGTTAAATGACCAATAACTCTCCTCTTCCCAGAACAGAAGCAAGCAGCAGTAATACACAGCTCACAAGCTGCAAAACAAAAAGGCAGACTGTCACTAGGGCTCTCCTCTCTAGTGCCAGCCTTAAGCACTCTGGCCTAATTGCCAAGTAGAATCAGCTACACTCAAGGATGGCACCTAAGGCTGGACAGCAAGGCCCACCCACTGGGGCAATATTACAGCAGGTCCTGCTGGGGTTATAACAATATTGCTCTCATTTATTCTGGTTATGTCTATCAACACAAGGCCAATTTGGTTTTACTTAAAACTGAAACTTGTCATGTATTTGTGGAATTGCTTAAAAAATCAAAAGAACAAAAACCTATAAACTATGTAGTTCCTCAAACAACATGAAATAGTTTCTTTTCTGTCTCTTGGGATCTAGAGAAAGCTTACAATAGGGTGCCACAGAGAGGAACTGTGGTAGGCTACTGCATAAGGAAGTCAGGAGTGACAGAGACGTTTGTGAGGGTGGTGCCAGGAATGTATGAGAACAGCAGGACGGTGGTAAGATGTGCGGTAAGAGTGACAGTTTAGTTCAAGAAGAGTGTGAGATTAGATCAGGGATCAGCTCTGAACCCTTCTTGTTTGCAGTGATGATGGACAGGATGACAGATGACTACTGGCAGGAGTTTCCATGTGCTATAATGTTTGTAGATGACATTGTGATCTTTATTGAGATTAGGGAGAAGGTAGAAAAGGACCTGGAGAGATGGAGGTATGAACTGGAAAGTCAGATGAGAGTGTGAATGAGAAGATAATGTGACAATACAAGGAGTAGAAGTATTGAAAGTGGATGAGTTTAAATACCTGTGGTCAGAATACACAAGAGGGCAGGCTGGGTGGATGGAGATGTGACAGAACGATAGCAGTAAGAGTGGAAGGCAAAGTTAGGTAGTTAGACCTGCCATGATGTATGGTTTGGAAAAGGTGACACTAACAAAAACACAGGTGTCAGAACCGCAGATGGCAGAGCTGAAGATGCTAAGATTTTCAAAATGAATATATCAGAGGGTCAGATCAGGTTGAGTGGTTTGGAAACATGGCAAAGATAGTTTGAACATGTACACAGAGGAACAGTAGACACTTTGGATATGGAGCTGCCCGGCAGAAGGAAAAGAGAGAAGACTCGTGGATATAGTCAAGGAGGAGATGCAGAGGGTTGGTGTTACAGAAGTGGATGCGAGGGAGATGAAGACAAATGATCTGCTGTGACGACCACTAATGGGAGCAGCCCCAAAAAGAAGATAATTTGCTACAGATTATTTTCTAATAAACTTGCACAGTAGTTGGAATTTCAGTATTATGACTGATTCAATATAAAGATTTTTCATCACAATACCAAAACACACAGTGATGTGTTTTAATACTTTTTCAGGGCGGAGGATGGAATATATTGGCAAACGCTGCAAACGGGGTTTAACTGTAACACATTTGTCATCAGGCTGAATTTATGCATATTCACAGGATTTGGAAAAAACAACATCTTGGAAAATATTGTTGTTTTTTTCTTTAATATCTGCTACATGCTGTAAATACATCAAGGTTATCTTGAAATCTGCTAACTCTGCCAGAGTACAGTAATTTAGCAACAGTATAAATGTTATAGTTTTTATAAAAGTTTAACAATAAAGAGGTGCACTTTGTATCGTTTGTACCTGAGGTACATTGTGCTCTGTGTTGTAGAAAAGTATTATCCTCCTTACTGCTGTTTGTGTTATGCATAATAAGTGCAGACAGTGAGTATTCCCTCAAGTTTTCACCGACCAAGATACTATTAACAAATTCTAGAGGTAAACACTTTAGGTTTGCCCTCATTTGTTTCTTATTCACTATTATTGATAGACTAAACTTGTGATTCTGAAAGGACAGAATGAGATTTAAAATCAGTTTTCAGTTTTCAATACTCTGTTTCCAGATACAGTATTTTCAATGTCAGGGGTGTATTATGCCTTCTTTCAAATGTTCTTGCATCCTGAATCCTTCATCCTTTTGAATTTCAATTCAATTTTATATAATTCAATTTTATTTATGAGGTGACAAATTTACAACAACCTTGCCTCAAGGTGCTTTATTTTTGCTTTGACAAGATGTCTTTGTCCTATAGGAATGAAAGGCTTGAACACAGAAAGAATGTTGAATTCTCTATTCTAACCCAATTTTATAGTACAAACAGACCATCCAAATCTGTTTTGATAAATATGTTACTGTATGTAGCTATGCACTTACTCAAAAACCAATCTGATGATTTAGCACTGTGTTTTTCCAGGTGTCAACATGGAAGATGGAGAGAACTGGTGTTCTCAGATCAATAGGCTGCAGCAACTTTTGGATAAACTGGAGTGTCAGGTAGGAGAACTTTCCTTATGTAGGCTATATTTTAGAGTGGACAGCAAAACACTTTTCAAACTTTGAAGTATGTTATTTGCTCCCACAGTGACTAGCTCTAGTTCTTTGCTAAAATCTCAGTAACACAAACTTGAGTTTCTACAATTCTGTGCAATGGATCTTTTGAGCATTTTAATGATTTTCTGCCCTCATGATTTTCTGCCCTTAAACTATAAGTCTGTATAGCCACAGTCATGTCATTTACTTGTTTAATAACTGTTATTTTAAATCCTCAAATTTGCATTTTCCATTTTAATGAGCTGGATGTGATCACATGGTCAATAAGACTGTATGGTAACTTGGTTTGCAAGAAAACATTTTAGGAATTCTGTTCATAAAAATGTCTGCACAGCTAACAATAGTTTTATCAGGTTTGATTAAAGCAGCACCAGCAACACAGTACAGAGGTCCATTTCAGGAAGTCAGAGAGACCCTGGCAACCGCCAGTCACACAAGAAGAACATGTATTCCTTGACCAGTTAGCAAAAGCCTCTTAGTAATTGCTTCATTGCTGCAGTTACTTGTAATTACCATGAAAGATGCCAATTTGGCTGCAAGCACTCACCAACTTCTCTCCGAGTGGGAGTGGAACTGTTAAAGTGTGACTCAAACCAGGAATGAAGACAGTTTGCCTTTAAAGAACAGTTGCACCTTTTGAAATGTGGTTGGCTACAACTCTGTGATCTAAGGAGATCCCAGATATAGAACTGGAAAAAGCTTCTCACATGAGAGGTGAAACGTCTTTGTGAAACTTCCAAATCCAATCGGTTTCCTTTCCAAGCTCTTTAGATTACCATGACCTGGATGACTGAGGACCTACACATACCTACAGCTGTGTGCCACAGCTTTTATTTTGAAGGTGAACCTTCTCTGTTTCCGGTCTGCATCACAATTTGCTAGTTTTGCTAATTAGTTAACATGTAAACTACAGATGACCGTGGCAAACTGTAGTCACAAGGAAG